TCTTTGACGGATCTGTTTGTTCCCGAGGTGTAATTTTTTATTTTTATTTTTTTAAAAAAAACTGTCCATGTTCTAATTATGTAGGATCTTGAGGTTTTCTGACTAGTTGCATGTAGCGTGCAGGAGAAGATGACGTCGCGTTTCTGGACACAGGTTTTTGGTATTCGCTGATTGTAATATATAGGTATCTCTTGGAGGAACTGCTAGTGACAGTGATGAATCCGGTGATCAGAAGCATTTGTTCAGGCCAGCCAAGGAAAAGCGTTTGAGGAGATGTGGGCCACTGCTGATCAAATGAAGAATGCGATACATGAAGATTAATGCATGACTGGGTCAGCTTCCTAGGGAGTTCTGACAAGATTAATAGGCAACTTGAGAAAGCCATGCGGGTCAGGGAGAGTCTGTGAAGGTTCCAGCCCTTTATAATACTAAAGCTATGACCATGGCGCTGGAAGATTTATCTCGAGCCAGGCCTTAGCGCAAAAGGAAATCAAGGTAAAAAGAAGATGAGCAGTAGCAATTATGCCAGGGCTTTGAATGCAATAGAGAGGGAGTTGAAGAAACATAATAAACAACACGAAGATCAGATTAATAAGTGCAGGGAACGTCCCTGAAGGTGAGGAAGAACCAGAGGCTGACGAGGAGCCAAAAGAGGAGGAAGGGTCAGATTTGGAGTTAGAGGGGGACCAATGTTTGATGAGGAGGAAAATGTCGATGACTAATCTGTGAAGGATGAGGGCTGGGAGAAGATGATGATTAAGAAAGATAAGCTCATGGATAAGCTGTTTGCAAAAAGATCTCAGCGAAATCACTTGGTGGAATTAATATTGTGAACAAAAAGCTTAAAGGTTAATGAGCATATATAGTAGATGTCAAATTTAATTTAAAATGGGTATATTTAATATCAAATTTTTTTTGGTAAATGATTAAAATAAATTATGGGTATGATTTAATCTTTTACTATTATTTTTTTAAAATTTCTAAAAAATACTAAAATTATTTTAAAAAAATCATTTTTCACATGATTTATCAAATATCTAGTCATTTTATAATTTTCAACTATTTTATTTATTGTTATTGTAATGATAATTTTATTTTATTAAAAAAAAAAAGCAAATCAATTTTAGTGATCAAGACTATCAGAAGATCCCAATAAGTGGGATATATATCCTTACCAATACAAAGTACAGAAACCCAATTATTATTGTTCACAGCGAAGAGAAATTGCTGGATTACAAAATACATAATAACTGAAGACAAACAAACAAAGCAGAAAATGTCCGACTAGTTGCAAACTAGCTAATGACTTAGTCCTTCAATCTTCAATGAAGCTGAATGGCAGAGTCATAAGCAACACCAGCCTTCCAATCACTTGGTAAAACATTGTCTGCTTGGACCCATGTCACCCCTGCTGCACTGCCACAGACCTGAAGCTTCAAGCTAATGGCACCCTTTGGTGGATTAGGCATATCCCACACTGCCCCATAGGCCCTTCTCATGCCTCTCCATTCCTTGCAATCCTCCTGCATGTAATTAAAAGACATCACGTCAAGTTTTCTCATGCTAGATCCTATATATATATAGTGGTATTAAAGGTAAACTGCATGTAATTAAAAGACATCACGTCAAGCTTTCTCATGATAGTTCCTATATATATAGTGGTATTAAAGGTACAAAAAGAATATCAGAAGAAGAAATCAAAACATACCTGCCGTAATTCCACAGCCAAAATCTCATTTTGGCCAGCTTGGTACAGAAGAACTATGGCCAAGTACTCAGGAAACCTGCTATGTTCATGGACCTTGAACATGAGATTATAACCAGAGTAACGGCAAGGGATCCTCCTGAATTCTACATCAACAACACCATATGCGAACAGCTCTAAGGCCATGTTTGGACGTGCCATTCTTGCGTATGCACGTGTGCTGAGGATGAAGTCAGTTTTGTCTCCTTCACCATAGTCAGTAACCACTACGTTCACCCCATCATCAGAGCAAAGGTTTGGAGCTTTGCAGCTAACCTGAAATTGTTATCAATCTACAATATGTAAACCAGCATTATCAATACTTAAACTCATTTGTTTATTACCCTGAAAGTAACAGTTAATTACTTTCAATAGCACTGATAATTAAGTTCCTTGAATTCAAGTACCTGATAGCAACCACCACATCCAGTACCATTCTTGAAGAGTCTTGAAACACCAGCTACATTAGCATCATTGACCGTCGTTCCATATCCTCCAAACCCGCAAGCTCCAGCTGCATTAACATTTACATGCATGCATGTCAGTACTTGTTTCATGCAAAACAGATTATATATGTTGTTAAGCTTACACAGCAGTCCTCTTACAAATATTTACATTTGCATAACTAGATAAACAATATAATTGTGAACTCTGAATAAATAGGAGATCTCGGCGCTCGCGCACATTCATACTTACTTGGTGTCCCTAAGCAGTCAGGGCTACCAAAATAAGTTGCTCTTGAGCATGTGTAGTCTTGGGAGTGACTTATTGCAGGCAGTAGTGCCACTGCCACGACACAAAGAATGGAATAACCATATTTAAGCGCAAACCCCATAATTATCATCACACTGCCACACTTGTATGATCAAGTAAAGGTAACAAGTTGAGAGAGAGTAAGAGAAAGAAGAAAATGGACGAGAAAGCATGATTTCACAATACCCTATTTATAGTTGAGGTCTGAGAGGCTGTGGCAGCTATTGAGGAATTGCTACTTCTTCTTTTTTTCCTTTCAAATGGGACTAATTAGGTGGTAGGATGAGATTAATCATTAATGGGGTGCACATGTCAATGTAGACTCTCTCCTTTATTAACCCCTCGAGACCTCATTTCCATGGTACTGGAAAGAGGATACATTTGCAAAAGTCTGCCTCCCTGTTGTCTCTCTTCACTTTTTTCGCCAACTCCTTGTGCTTAAAATATTCTAAAAGCATAATGGTTTTTACGCTATTATTATTGTACTTTTGCGAAAAAGGTTATATTTATTCCTCCTCAATGTGATGTGACAACTGACACATCACAGAAGGAACTTTCGACTGTTACTCCCACATATTCAAATTCATGCTGACCACTAATGCCATGATATGAAAGGGCTAACATATAACTAAACAACTGAAATGAGATTAATTATTTTAATGTTCATCACTGTATACCTGCCGACATAACTCAAGTGGTGGTATTCTAGTTTCCACTGGGTGAGACCAGGATGCATGGGAGTAAGAGGGAAGAGAGTTGCATGCTGGCGCTGCACGTCGTCGTATATCCCAGTCACTCAAGAAGATAAGCAGAAATAAAATGGAACCCTTCATAAGAAATTTGCTGAAAATAGTGTTATTCAAGGATATTGTCCTAAGATCAATGCCATTGTATGTTTTACATGCTAGAAATTACCTTGCAAAAGGGGGTTTTCTTTCCTTCTTCTTCTTCTTCTTCTTTTAAAAAAAAAGAAGCCTCCATTCCTGTTTCTAGTTCTTTCTTAAATTATGTAGTTTGTGAATAAAACCATGCAAACAGAAAAATAGGACTTGACAGATTACAATAATTACATAACTAATTCATATGGGAAAGAGATAATTCCCTTTTTAGTTCAATAGATGGAGGAAGAGGAAGTTCAAGGCATGGTGAAAGTACTAAACACTTTCCATCAATTATACTACCACTTAATTGGTTTAATTTAAATTGAAATGAATGTATCAGATCTTATGAATTTGTATGGGATTTTCTTATTATCAATATGGATTTAGATCCTAACTTTCAGGTCGAATTCAAATAGCAATCACATTTACCATTCGATTTTTGTTATTTTTTAAAAAACATATTGGCTATATTCGAAATCATTCTTCAATGTAAAATGAGTTTCACACACTATATGTATAGAGAATATGTTATCAAAATTAATTGATACTTGAAAAACACTTTTTTTTAAAAAAAAAAATATCCAGTGATTGTTTAAAAGAATAGCCGTTAATATGGTGGAAAAAAGAAAAGAAAAGGACGTTGCTATTTACCCTGAATCAAATCTTAGGGCTATATTAATTTTTTTTTCTAATTACTTATATTTAAAAGTTTTTATATTTCATATTTATTAGAAATAATAGTAATATTAATTTCAAATCGAATTTAGATCTGAAACTCATCCATTTAATAAGCAGGTTTACGAATTCAGGAAAAAAATCAAATTTAAATAATAAAAACAATACAACAGATTCATTTAATTACATTATAAGAGAGTCAGATAACATTATACTATAATTACACATCTGTTTGTAAAGTTTAATACACACACAGAGAGGCTTTTACTTGTTTTGTTCTCGGTCGTGAACTAAGAACAAACTATTTGAATAGAAAAATCTCAGAGAGTAATTTTCATGAAAATGCCACGAGAGAAGGCATTTTCGAGAAGGTCATTCAGTGATAGGGTTTCTTCGAATGCTAAAATATTACTCGAGAAGCTAATAATTTGTAACTCAATTGATATTGATGTCTCTTCTGTCATTAAGAGGTTTTGATTTCCAATCTTTTCTTTGCAATAAACAAGTAAAAGTAGTGCCTTATTGCAATAAACAAGTACAATTGATATTGATGTCTCTTCTGTCATTATTGCAATAAACAAGTGTCAAAACCATGACTTCCAAGGAGTCTTCCAAGATGCCAAAACCATGTTTCATCTCTTTCATTCCTTTCCCGAACAAATCTTCCATAGAACTGAGCTAGCAAAGTTTCCACCTTTCAAAAAGAAAAAAAGAGCATTGAAACATGGTGCTAATAGAGCAGTGTCGTATGCAAACAGAACTTGGCAGGGAATAATTTGATGACACTGTTAAATGATTCATTAGTCTTAAATTACACTGCAAAACAAAATTAATTGCGCAAGAAATTACAGGGATGCGCATATATGTTCAGCACAGATTATGACAAAAACATGTTACAAGTGTGCAAGTTATGGACGGGGACATTATATTTTGTAGCTGAAGCACAGGGGTTCTCATCTCCACAGCCTTGTTTCTCCTTCAAAACACGCTTTCTGTTCACAGCTTGTCAGAGCCTTTCATCAATTCAATCTACAATCCTCCAGCCAAAGACTCTTTAAAATAACCTAAAAAAATAAAGGATTTTAAGTACAAAACCATGAGCAATTTTAACTCTCAACAATTATCAGCTCAGTGGTTCACTCGTAACTCGACAGTTCGCACACATAACGCAAAGATCCCTGCTAAGAGAATGAAGGCCTGTTTGAAGATGGTGACAATCACTATAAAGGGTTTGTGAAGTATGACATCACCCTCAAGAATGGGCTTTAAGCACTTGAAGCAAATAATGGAAGAGGCAATGTTGATAACTGGGGCCAAACTGTGTATGGGGCATCCCCTCCCTCCACTTGCAAATCTGTGATGAGAAAAGAGAAAAATTTCTTGTATGATAGGGGATGAAGCTCCTATTACCTGACAACAAGGAACACCACTCACCAAATTGCCTCTTTCGAACACTAGGAATCTCAAGATCCAACAAATTTTACAGAAAATAAAAAAAGCAAATCCACCTTGCAACGCATGCTTACTATATTGTCAAATCAGCAATTTAGATAAAGTCAAAACACTTTCCAAGTGTCTCACTGAAGAAGTCTCAGGTAAGAAATATGAAGCAATAATGCTGAGGTGGTGTACCCATGAAAAGAACAAGCAATTGCATTAATTTCATGCCAGAACATGCTTGATCTCAAGAGCAAGAGCAGTGAATTAGTGAAGAGCAGGACTGATGCAAAGTTGGTGCATCGATTGCAAAGGTGTAGGGCGGTGATTGAATGTGCATGTTCTAGAGAGTTGGTTCCTCTATCTCTATTTTTTGGAGGGTTCAAATGGTTTGTACATCAACGCATTGGAAGTAAAAATTATTTCATTGCAATGCCATGAAAAAGCATGTTCAGCATCAAAATTTCTAAAAAATGATCGGCACTTTATGAGAGAGCATGATCAATGAACTCTTGTGGTCACCGCATGACTACCTAACTAAATACATCAACTTTGGCACTGCCATCAGAAAATCGAGCATTTAAAAATGTAGTGCAAGAAATCACAAGTGCCATAAATCGAGCATTTTAAAGCTTCCCATGCAGAATAACAGCAGCAGCAGTTGAAGTGTGAGCTCACTGCTCAGCCACAATGCACTTGATAAAAGAGCAAATTTCTAAAGCCTTCTCAATTGTGGAAGTTATTCTAAGTCATTTTCTTCCAGAAATTAAATTGTTTATGTTTTGAACCAAGGGTCTAAACCTTTGATTAAGATCAAGTATCGGTTACTTTTGGGAAGCCAAAAAGTTCTCCCTCCTCACACCCCTAGTTTCTTCCCCCGTAGGCAAAACATAAACTCCCTCCCTAGTGTGTGCTTGCACACACACACACACACGCAAACATGTGCAAACAAGCCTTCAGTTGTATTTGCTGGCTATCATTTAAACTTCCACTCGCAACTGTGAGCAGGCCAAACAGGCATTGTTCTGACAGGTTCTGTATCCTGTAATACAAATGTACAAGTAAAATGTGTAAAACCAACCCAGTCATTAGCGCCAGTCGACCTGAATTTGTATTTTCCTTGCCCACCAATACAGTCTGTGAGGTTTGGAGCAAAGCCCACCAAGCCCATTGTGCCCCAGAACAAGGTAAGTTGAGATGAGGCCCATGCTACCCAACCTAACTCTCAAGATCACCGAGCTACCTTGTTAGAGGAGGTCAGGATGAGGTTGTGGCTCATGGAAAATTGCAACCATTATCCCACATACAGCTCTACTAAAAAGAGGGAAATTGCAAGTGAGGTTATGGTTTAGCGGTGGGAGGGGCGTGTCCCCTTTCTTTGTATTTAGGTTCGAATCTTACCATGCACGCTTGTTACCCCGCAGTGCTTTACTACCTAACTCTCAAGATCACCGAGCTACCTTGTTAGAGGAGGTCAGGATGAGGTTGTGGCTCATGGAAAATTGCAACCATTATCCCACATACAGCTCTACTAAAAAGAGGAAAATAGAATATCTTTCAGCATTCATTTTTGACAGATGAGAAGGCAGTGTGGCATTACTGTTCTGGGTAATCATTCAGGCTAGTTCACAACCAAAGGGACCAAACCCTGCCTAAGAACTTCAGTTCCTAGTAACCAGCAACCATAGATTGAGGTTTGTAGCCAAACTGAAAACTATCTGATTAAAAGTAACCGTTAATCTTACCAATTCTGCTTTCACACTCTTTGTTTCTTTCCTTGCAAGTTCAACATCTGTTGCTTGACCTTGAAATCTCCCAATTGGCTGTAGATTGATAGAGAAAGTGCAGAAAATTTTGATTCTGAATTCTAGAGACTGATTGCAGTCAAGAAAGAAAAACTAGCAAGATATAAGATGGGATAGAATAGAGTACCATCTATCACAAAAATACCCGCTTTATCATGATCGTCGATGAGGGTAAAGCAGAGCGGTTTCCCCTTGAACCAGCGGCCAAAAGCATGGCTGCTTCTCCCCAAGCATTACCAACACAGAGAGTAAATATAGGCGACTTGACATACCTGCAGTGGTGTAAAACATTCATTGAAGAAAATATACACAAGAATTTCCTCAAGGATGGGATTTGGGAACGTTTACTTGTTGCATTCATAAATGCCACTGAGCTTATTTTAAAATCACAAAGCAGAGAACACTCTTAAATAGAGGTCATTAATAAACTATTATCACTATAATATATGCTCCACTCCATGCATATCCTCCTCGTCAGAATTAAACTAGTCCTTGCTCGCATTATCATCCAGTAGGCTTTGGAGTTGGCAATGATAAATGTATTGCCCTATAGAGCATTTAAAGCGCACTATTCATGCGATCACATGCATATGAATATTTACAGAAGCATACATAAATATATAGAAAGCAAACTGCTTCTTTTCTTAGCATGGACATGGTTAACATTAATAAGAAGATGGCATATACTCCAACACATAAACATTTCCCTCATCCAGTCCAACACAGTAAACAGACTTGGGGAAACTTTCTAAATTCACAATCTGTTAGGAAGCTTTGGAAGCAATGACAAAAACTATTATCCTGATTCCTCCGCCAACGAAGGGAGAGAGGAACTAAGTTGAAAGAGAGGCCCTTGAAGAAGAAGAATATAGAGAAGAAGAGATCGTTAGGGTTCTGTTAGGGTTAGTATTTCGTGAAGAGGCCGTTGTTGATTCTACACGCCTGTGGACCACGGCGGTCGATGCCGCCCCCCCCCCGCCATTGACGGTTGTGTTGGGCTGGGGTGTGAGAGAGAGAAGAGAGTGAAGCAAAATAAAGATACCGAAGTGAAGTGAATTGTTGTTGGGTTTCGGATTTTTGAATGTTTCATGCATCACATATTAGGCTCAGAGGCCCAAACACTGAAGCCCAATTATTTTGACAAAATTACCCTTTTTTTCGAAAATGGAATTAATTTTGTTTAAATTGTGTGGATTCTGTTTTTTTTTTAAATAATTTTTTGTGAAGTATCCACATAGTAAACTTTCATCATGTTTAGAAAAATGTTAGAATTTTTTTTAATGCCTTTTATTTAAAAATATATTAAAATAATATTTTTTTATTTTTTAAAATTTTATTTTTAATATCAACATATTAAAACAATTTAAAAATATAAAAAAATAATTTTAAATAAAAATTAAAAAACTAGAGAAATGATAATTCAATCACCAAGGCTCCGTTTGATTGCAGAAAAGTTGTTTTTTTTGAAAAATAAATTATTTTTTGATATTTGATAGTGTTATGAAAAATGAACTGGAAAATACTTTCCAGTATTTGGTTATATTATGAAAAATAAACTAAAAAATAATTTATTAATATTTTATTTTTTTCAAGTTTATTAAAATAATGAGGAACAAATCGTACAAATTAAAAAGTTGAATAAGAATGAAATTGAAAAAAAATATAATTTCATAAATTATCTC